GAGTAATAATCAGTTTAGCATAAAGTTAGGGCAAGAATTCATAACCGTAAGAGTGTAGTTTCTTTGGCTGTACATCCGGTGCGTTTGCCTGTTAGAGAAAACGCACCTGCTCTATTAGAATCTCAAGAAACTAGCTTGGTTGTTTAGCTTTTAGTTTCCGACGTGTATGTTGTAGCCTTGATTTAAATGTACTTTATAAATGAGGAGACTGCTAAGTGTCAGACTATTTCATTGCAAAGTCCAGGTAACTGGTAATTTTGTTTTTCAATATTTAATTTGTTCCTCATAAGTGGTGAGGTAGAATAAACTTAAGTTAACTTCACTGGTTTCCAAAAATTAAGGAAAAATACCCAAAATAGCAATAACTCGTTCAGAAATAAGCCAAACCGTATAAAATTTGAACACATTGTCAAATAAGAATGGTTGAGTAAAGCTACAATATGCAAATTAGTGACGCTATAGTCGAAATATGTCATCTGCGAGGAGCATAAAATTGCATGCTTCAGAGCAAGCCTGCAAATTTTGCAATGATACTGAGAGAAATCTTGGACAGTCAATTTGTAACAATGACCTTCAGCCATCATTTGCCCAAAGAACTGCGATAGAGAGCTATTGGGAGACTAGAGGCAGAATAAAGTCAGATAGATGTAGTCAGATGGCTAAATGTGAGCCCTTTTGTGGTTCATAGATGTGAGCCCTTTTGTGGCAACAATTTCTAACCACAGATTCGGCATCTAGGAGGTTTTGCCAAGGACGACAAACCGCTACGATGAGCGCTGGTAATAGATATTTCGTATGCGCACGAAGAAATAGTAGAATCTCACCTCCGACTCAACTCAGATCCTTCTTTGCTGCAGTCACTGGAAGGTTGGTGTCAATGTCAACTGTGGGTAGAAGGCTTCACGAAGGAGGTCTGTACGCTAGGCGACCAGCCATTTTCGTGCTCCTCGCGTCACGTCACAGAAGGGAACGTTTGAGTTGGGCACATCAGCCTGTCTACCGGACAGCTGTTCAATGAAGGGCTGTTCTGTTTATGGATGAGTCCAGGTTTAGCCTTCAAAGCGACAGTAGGCGTTTTTTGATTTGGACAGAAGCTGGAATCCGTTATCATCCATCAAATATCCACGAAACAGATGCATACGGAAAAGGCAGTGTCTGTGTTTGGGGCGGTATTTCTTTGGATGGACAGAGCTCCATGTCTTTCCACGTGGAACTATGAATGCTCATGCCTATAGAAATGGCATCCTTGATGCTTATGTGCGCCCTTATGCCGGGCAATAGGTGATGATTTCCTGCTACAAGACAACAACGCTAGACTGTACAGGCATGCATCATGGATGATTATCTTCAGCAGCAAACAATTCAGCTCATGCAGTGGCCAGCTTGATCATCGGACTTGAATCTTATCGAACATGTTTGGGTTGCTTTAGGAAGACGTATAGCCACTTTACTTCCTACAAACATAATAGACCGCATAATCGACAGCATCACAGATCGCTGCATGTGCTGTGTTGCTTCTAGGAGAGATCATACTGCATACTGAAGGTCATTTTCCTATACCAAACTGACACATTCAATTTATTCATTTCATACATATGCACCATAGTTCTATAACACCATAGTCATCTGGTAATTTCTTTTCCTGTTATTTTATATCTTACTACGTGTTGTATACTATGGGTTAGTTTCATTCAATTCTACACGTTACATTTTGAAGAATCTTCATTTTTGTGGCTTTTCCTTAATTAACGATAACCAGCGTATTTGTATTTGTGTACTTTCATCATTTACTTAGGCTATCAATAATATCTAGTAAAATAGCGTTTAAGTAATATATGTGGGAGGGAGAGTTAGATTTGAAATCGTTAATAAGTAGAAATATCCACGTACAGCTGTTATAAGATGAGCAAATGGAAAAGATTAATTCTTATGACAAAAGTAATTGTAAATCAAACTCATTCTAAGGCTACTGAAAATGAAATTGACAACTTGTATAATAGTATATACAGGGTGATTCCATATTCATGTTACAAACTTAGAGGGGAGGTACAGAACAAAGATACGAATAATATTCACATAGGAAACCCCAGGTCGCAATCAACTTATTTAGTCAGAAATACAACTTAAAATGCATTTGGAATAAGAAAACTTTAAAATGAGTTTGAGATCACATAACATCTAGAATGAATTGCTTCATACGAAGAACAGCACCCGCAGAACCTTTTATCACTCATTTAAAAAAAGGTCTTGTTTTAAACTACGTCATGAAACACATTTGCATATTAATAATTTTCATAAAAAACACCATTGCCGGTAGAGGGCAGTAGGTGTGCATCTCAAAATAAGGCGCTTGCTGTATTGTCAGTGATGGGAGACTTTACGTATGCCGAAAAGGCAGACATGCATTACATGTACGTCCAAGCAAATAGTAACTCCTGAACTGCGCTACGAATGTATCACACGCAGTCTCAGAGTAGACGAATGCTGGATCATAAAATGTTCCAGCGGTTACATCTACAACTTTGTGAAATAGGTTCTTTCCACGTCTCCAGACTGGATGTTAGTTTCAACGAAGAAAACTATTCAATCCAAGATTCGAAAAAAAGCATCTTGAATATTGTGGCTCATGGATCTGAATCAAGTACAAGATCTGTTGCACAAAACGTAGGTGTGAGTCAGCATACCATTTAGAGTGTGTTAATCGCTTACATCCCTCCCATTTACAGTGAGTGCAAGCTTTGAATCCGCAAGAATATCCTCTGCTCCTGATGCCACATTTGGGGCCCAACCCAAGTAGCATATGACGTAGCAAAGACGTTGCAAATTGGTCCCAAATGCTGCAAAGTGATCGTGGTAACGTCTTTGCTACGTCATGTGCTACTTGGGAGTGGATTGAAATCCTGAACTGCTCCAGTGGCTTTTGCAACAATCTGCATTGCAGTCGGATTTCACAGCTCCTGGGCTATTTACAGATGAGGCGATGTTTACCCGTGTATTTAATGCGCACAATTCTCATGTGTGAGCAACTGAGAATTCAAACGCGACGCGACCACATGCATCTCAACAAAGAATCAGTGCGAATGTGTTGGCGAGTATCGTCCATGACTTTTTAATTGGCCCATACCTACTGCCGCAACGACTCAATCTTATTTTTCTGGACTGCAGCAGCCACCTTATCGTATTTTTATGGAACAGGTGTTACCAGATCTGCTGCAAGATGTTCTAATCTCCATTCGTAACCGAATGTGGCTCCAGCATGAATAAAACGCCTTTCCACTTCAGCACTGATGTTCGCAATTACCTGAATGCTCTATTTGGGACGCAATGGATTGGCTGTGTTGGACCAGTCTCTTGGCCACCCCAATCTCCCGATTTATGAAGCCTTGATTACTTTTTCTAGGGACATCTGAAGAGTCTTGTTTATGCGACTCAATCTGACTCAGCTGAGGATCTCGTTGCTCGAATATCAGTAACTGCTGCATGTGTGCGTGAAATATCTGGTATTTTTGCCAGTGTACGCCAGTCGCTACACCGACACTGTAAAGTATGCATCGCTGCTGGAGGAGGAAATTTTGAACAGTTCTCGTAAATATCTTCAGTTGAAGGGAGACACCCGAATTTATGACTAAATAAACGGATTGCGATCTGGGTTTCCTATGTGAATATTATGAATTAGACGAATGCCGGATCACAAAATGATATGTTCGTATCTTTGTTCTGTACCTCCAAGTTTGTATTATGAATTGAACATCATCCTTCATTAAAACTTCCATAAAATTTCATTTTTTTATAAACGTATCAATTAATGTAAACGTAATTAAGTCATTTATTATGATTTAAAAGTGAAGTTTGGAAGAGCAAAAGAGACTTTGTTTTCTTTAACTTTGTCTTTCATTTTTTACTTATTTACTTTTTTACGGCAATGGGAATGTATAAAGGGTATTGTACTTTCTAACTAAATTTTTGAAGTCAATCATTCTGCATGAATCTTCAAAATGAGATCAGAAAGCAGTAGTGTATCTATACATATTGATGCAAAAGTGAATAACGGAAAAAGAGTAAAATATGCATTACATAGTGAATAACAGGAGAACAAGAAAGGGAACATCTAGAAATAAAATTCGGAAGTAAGTCTATAAGGATTTATCGCCTTATCCTGTGTGCGCATTTATAGTGTAACTGGTAGCATGTCTGGCTGGCAGTCGGAAGATCGACGGTCCGAATATCAGAGAGGGCATAGATAATTTTGAAGTTTCCCGCTACAAAACGAATCTAGTAGTTCTAAAATTTCATAGTGGGAGGGAAAAAAATTAAAGAAAAACGGAAAACAATCTATTAAGACCAGTTATGTAATTTCTGCGCAACAATTAGTACAGAAATCAACAAATGTATATAATGCCTAACTTTCTAAAATGTAGGATTGCTTGGAACTGTGAATAAACAGATCATGCTTTTCGTGATAATGTTTCTTTTGAATATTTTTCATGCCAAATATTAGCATTCTCTGCTTTCTGTGAACTTTTCTTGAAACAATAAAACAAAATAAACTGAAAGAGCGAGCATACGAAATCCGAGAATTCATTCCTTAATCGAAGTTCGTAAGATAATGGTGGGCGCTAATTTCGAGCACCTTAAAATTCTCCATCCGACTAATTACTCTTCAAATGAGAACTCACTCCTCATTTCTAACCCATCCACCCACTCCGCACATATACACTTTTCTTAATGCAATAAAGAAGGCATTATCTCTTCTCTGCAACTACTGAGTTGAAACCACTAGTTGGGGGGGCAAAATCTGGAAACCACCCTCACATGATCATTAGTAGCGATCTCACCAACCGCTGCTGGCTGTGCATTTGACGTCACGCCATAAAGCCTTTCCCATTGGTCGAGACAGGGAAACCTCCGGCGAAGACAAATGTCGGCAATAACGCTACAGTTGACTTAGAACGAATCCTAGTAAGCTCTAATCGCCCTCAGCATCTTATAGAGAACTTAAGAGCGTGTTGTGCTTCAAAAAGACTCGCCTCTTCTTCAGCCTCGCATTTCCATTGACTGAGTTGACAAAGCGATCTCTCTCTCGTCTGTCCCAATTCGATGGAAAAATTTGCGCGCTATTTTTAACAAAATAATTTTACTGCGTCTCGCAGATACTGGACTTAAATTATCATTAAAATTTAAATAAGCATGCAAGCGACGATGTTACCCTTTTCTTACTCTTTGTCGTATCATCCATTTGCAGACGTAACTGGAACGGATTCCGTTACATCTTCCTCCCCATCCGGTACACCAAGTCCGCCGATGATGAATTTTGTCAACAGATGCTATGATACCATGTTTACAAGCCGCTTAGCAAACAATGCGAGAACCACTTTCACCGGCTTAGCGTACCAACAAAAAGGGTATCCGCAACCGGAAAGGAACATTTCTCGTTCATCAGCGAGGATGAAGTCCTTCACCATTGAAGCAATCTTGGGGCTTGATGATAATAGCAGCGATAGAGCAGATGAGTATGGGACTGACTTTGCCTCGGGTGCTTGCCGCGACAGTCAACTATTATCGCCGAAGCCGTACGTTGTTCCGACGGCAACATCGAGATCATCCCTTACTGCTCTCTTTCCATCGCCGACGGAGTCATGCGGAGGAAAAAAGGAAAGAGGTATGTAAATCGTTGCTTTTTTATAATATTTTTACCACTTCTTTACTGCATGTAAGCTGCACTATCATGAATTACTAAAGAATATTGTGCCTTGCCAATGAGTAAAATCCTTAACTTTTCAATTTATTGTATTTTTATACGTTTTTATAAAGCCATGAAAAGATATGTCAGTTTCATGAAATGCAATGTGTTGCTTTTCCTAATGTATCCTAATTACTACTAAAGATAAACATATAAGTCTTCTGAACAATTAATGCAGGTAATTTTTTACCATGGTTCTAAAATGTGTAATACAGTCGCTGCGTTAATGCATTTCAAATATTAATGATTTCCTTTAATCTCAAAACTTAACTGACTATTTTAACTGAACATGATTACAAAAGCTTAAGTGTGAAAAACTTAGCAATACTAAAATTGATTAACTGCTTGTGGAAATTTAACGTTCAAAAATGCCATCCAAAAGTTTCAGTGTTCTGTGAAAAGCTTCTCAAATTTGCATATTTTCTTAAAGTAATTAATTATCAAATATCAATTTTAGTATAACTGAGTTATAGTATTATGCTGCTTATTTTTGAGTGAGAAATTTCTGAAAGATTTTAAAAACAAGAGCTATAATTATTTTACAGCATTTAATGAAAACATTTTAAGAAGTTCATATTAAAAGATAACTTTAATGAATTTGTTGAAACTTAGTGCAGTTGGTTAAATAATTCATTACAAGAAAGAGCGCATTGAAAAGGTTTGTAAATTAATTATTACATCACCTTATTTTTTTTAATTTTGAAAGCAGTGTACGAAGAGCATAAGAACTAAAAATATTTCCCTCTTCTATTTTTTGGTCTGCTTTCGCGCGAATGGATAAACAGATTCAAAGCAACAAAACTAATATTTAATTAACGTATATTATGAAAAAAATATCTGCATATGTAATTTTGATTTAAGGAGGAAAATTTAATCAAAAACATATAAATAAGTACTAATTTTGAAATATACTTTTCAATTGATTAATGTGATAAATTTCCTTAGCTGAAGTGTATATATATAATGCTGTATGATCTTAAATTCATTTAGTGCGAAAAGAAGTTACCACTATAAATTTAGAACCAAGCTTTAGTCGTAACTGATACTGAATCATTACACTTTTAAACTTCATGTATGTTTATCAAACTGTGTACCTGAACAAATACTAAAACAAAATGTAATGAAACTATTTTATGATGACATAGTTTTCCTCTTCCCTGTTTGCTGTTTCAAATTTTTGAAGCTCATTTTCATTCAGAATAAAATTAATGGAAAGGGAAAAAAACTAGAGACAAGAAACTAGTTCTTTGAAAGATTTTATGCTCTCGCAAATAATATAAGCTCATGTTTTATGTTTAACTTGCATTATTCAATAAGAATTAACTCTTATTTCTGCAGCTTAAGAATATTAAATAAATTATTATTCTCGTTGTAGTGTTATTAATTAAATGAATTTTATCTTATTTCAATTATTGTTTTATAAAACAATTTACATGAAAGAAATTATATAACAGCTGTTTCACTAAAAATTATTGAGTTTAAAAAGATATATGTATTTAATAACTATGACTCTCCTCTAAATCTAAATTTTATTAAAAAATTTATTATTTCAAAATTTGTCAAGACTGAACTTGCATTGATAATTGAATTGATTTGCATTGCACAGCTTGCTTTTGGGACGGCACGTTGATAACTAGGATAATTGGTTTAAATGAGCCATGCATAAAAATAAGTCAGCTTTTGCTACTAGCTTTGTATCTTATGCATTACATTGTAAATCCGAAACATTAATTTGTTTTTATAGTTAACCGAGTACTTTTGCAAACTGTTGAAGTTCAGATTATAAAAGATTCACTTCAGTAATATTTATCTCTGTTTTTGGATATTACGTGAAATTTTATATACTTAAGTGAATAATGAATGCTTCCCACTAATAATATTACATAAAATTACAGAATGTTTGAACATCTACAGGATGAAATGGTTATTTTTCAATTAAATTTGTAATACTGTTACAGTTATATCTGAAATTCAACTCCTATATTTGAATATTTGTTATTTTGAACAAACTAAAATATTAGAGAACTCGGGCTAGAAAATTTTATTTGCAAATTTTCAAATTCAAAAGAGGAACTCATAGACTTGGGTAATAAAAAACAGAGTTTGATTCCTAAAATTAACAGTGATGAAACCCTAAGGGAGATCTTCAAGAAAAGTGAAAAATAAATAAATGAAATTATGAATAATTAATAATTAAAATTGAATAAAATTTAAAATAATACAAAATTAATAAAAAAACTGAAATACTTAAATTAAAATACAAGAGCTCATCATATTTGGGGTCTTGTTGGAACCACAATTTCCCTCAAACTATAAGAAGTACTGGAGCCGGGCTTCGGTAGGTTCCGGCTGCATTTAAGCCCTGATAAAAAACAGAAACAGATTTTTTAATGCAAAAAGTAATTAAGTATGTTTTTTTTAAAGAAAACATGCCAATAAAAAGCTTTACCATAATCACAGATAAGATGCAACTTTTACTTAATTTGCATAATATTTGAGTAATTTTTTTGTTTAAATTTTTTTCCAAATTAATTATTAATTTTGAATTAGAGCTTTAAACACATTTTTAGTTAATTGCTTAAAATGCAGTACAATGAATTTATTATTGGATTGATTAATTATAAATTTTGTACTGATTTTAATAGCGAAAACACTATTGTAGTTGCCATAAATAAGGCTTATTAATAAAGCAATGTATTAAGTATGTAACATAACAATCATTTAAGTTTTTGTAGCTCTTTTTATATCTTTAATGCTAGACTCTGAATGTCAAAAATCGCATGTTTTTGAGAGGAATAAAGCAGTCCATTTTCATATCTTTAATGTATGATAAAATGCTGGACAAAAGGGCCCAAGGCTTTCTTTCAGGCATCCATAGCTGCACAATTTCTTTATTTTCACAACAGAAAAATAGAGATGTGAGGAGTCATAGGATGATTTGCTGGTTTATTAGAACCCAGAACTCAAGGTCTGGGCTTTGTGAGCCTAGTCGGTAATCAGGCTCTTTCTTGATATGCTTACACTGCCTTCTTTCAGTTGACTGTTTTGTAAATCTTACATGCTGTATAGAAAATCGGAGCAACCCAGACATACTATTGTTCAGAAGTATTCTTATCCTCTACTATATTTCATTATCACTGATATTTTTCTCATGCTCTGAAATGAACAGAAACTTATTTCTAGAACTTTGATTCCGAGAGTTACTGATTTTTTTTACTATGTTCATCTCCATTAATTAGTTCCATCTGTATATTATCGTTCTCAATGAAAAAAGTTCTGACAATATATAAAAATGTAACCGGCATATAAAGCTGTGTCTACAGATTATTACAGGTGAAGAACAAAAACTATGCCTTCCATGTATTATTGATATAATTTTCACATTTATATTTAATTTATACTACTTAAGTTTTTCACCTTCTCTCACATCTTTTCTGAGGCTAGTATGTCCCTTGCTACTCCTTCTGGATTGCTGAGCGTGTAGACGGGCGGTGTGTTTATGCAATTAAAAGTTCTTTTAAAATTCAGTTTAATTTAGAAATTGTTTTTTAAAAGGGTAAATAAAATTTGTTGATATCTGATTCATTCTGTATCTTCTTTTGTTTAGAAGCAGAGTTTGTTTAGAATGACCTGAAATTTATGAAGTATGAAATTTTATTCGAAATTTCATTGCATAATTTCTTGCATGTGGTTATGAATTTCATGAACGGAAAGCCAGGCTAAATATATTTATGTATGCACATAAAAAAGATATAGTTAAAAATGTGATGAAGAAGAATTTTAGAAATGAAGATCACATATTTTATTTTTAGAACGACATGAACAATAAGAATATTAAAGAGCAGCTAAGACATGCTATCTGGATAGCCATGTTATGAATTTAACCTGTTTCAATGTCATTTTTTTAAACTATGTGTTTACTAATTCATTCAATTCTAAAATCAGGGTTCAGTTTAATTACTGAAGTTAAATTAGATTAATTTTTGGGAGTAGAGTGTTTGATTGCTAATAGGAATTGAAGGTATGGTTTTCTGGAGAATTTTTTGAAAAAATTTGACTCGTATACCTGTCCTATGTGTGGGAAATTACGAAAATTCCGTGCATCCAATTTAGTCGTTCGTAATGAAACCTAGGAGAAATCACTGCTCGACAGACTTATTCACGAAGCCACTGATTTTACAGTTACTGGCCTATTTAATCTACTTGAGAGTGAAATAAAACTTTAGTCAGATCTGCACGAATACAAGATTAAAAGCATTTTATTTTACTTGAGACGAAATTTTGCTACTTTTAGATGATATTATTATTTGTAATAATAATTCAAAGAAATTACAATTAATCTTTAGAATTTTATTAAAATATTAATTAAAAATAATCTTCTATTTTTCTTTCATTGGCAGTTAACATTTCAATTTTTCTTTTTTCCCCTTCTATTTATTTAATTTCTTTTTACTTTTTAGAAGATGAAGGTATGTTAAAAATTTCAAAATCAATCGTCTAATTTTTCGTTTATGAATCCTACGTTTTCATTACTGACCTAAGTTTTATTTATTATGTCAATTTCTATAAAATTCTCCCCTTCGGTTGATACTTTATTGCGCTTGCCTTATTTTAGTTATTTTACTAAAACACTTTTCGATTATCATCATTTTCTGTTACAAAAGGAAAAATCAATTTTTGTTCCTCTCTGATTTGTTGCCCTGTGTTACGCAAATACATGCCAACTTTTGTTGGAGCATTCCCTACAAAAGCATTCTTCTAAGGCCGTTAAGAGCCGTAAGTAGCCTAGACTGCTTTATTGCAATAAAAAATGTGACTTACTTAAAAGAGAGTGCTATTTAGATGGACTGCCTCCAGCAAAGCACAAGAGCTTTAGCTGCTTTGAAAACAATGTTTTTCGAGGAGGTCTTTTTAAAGGTAACTAACTGGCTTGTAGGAACCATACCCGTGACGAATTATTTGGTTCAGAGTTCTTATCTGCTTGGCCGTTGTGAACACAGTGTATCATTTAGGAGTTGTTTTAAGAAGTGTAAGAGCGATAAGCGCTAAACATATGTCTCAAAGAGAGTTATATGGATATTAAATTTTTTTATCATCTTAGTAATTTTAGCCACTCTTAGATGCTTCTTAAAAATATTTACTTAAATAAGGTAAAATGATACGTAATAGATTTAAAAATATTTTTAAAGGTTTTCAAATATATTCTTCTCTTTACTCTGATATTAAATAAAGCTTTCAAATCACAGCCACACAATAAAATCACCAATGTCGCTCAGAGAATATAAATTGTCACAAAAACGAAACCCATCATTTCAGATTTCAGAGCATTTAGTAGCGATACGGTAGCTTATAGAGGAGAATAGTGGCTATAGCTTGTCAAAACACTTGACTCCAATATCAAGAGTTTTGACAAATTGCCCTTCTCAAAGGCCTCAGCATACGTCAGCTATGAGGGGTCGTGTTATTATCCGTGTCATCGGTAGGGTTGCTGTAGCACATGAACCTCGTGGAATCAAATTTCATCGCCAATGTGGTAGGTTAAATCGGTTGGCATAAATAAATATCCACAATTCGTTTACTACCTAGGCTAGAGGGCTGTTGTGGTTTCTAAAGGTTGCCTTACCAGTTCTTAGTGCTCTTTTGTGTTGTTAGTAGGTTGTAAAGCTTTAAATTCCCATGTTGGCATTAAAAATAAGCGATATAAAATATGTCTAAATATTGTGCCCGTATAGGATTTAAACCGATAAAATATTCCTCAGGTTTCTACTAAATAATTACATTTCTTTTAACTGAAAACTTAAAAGTCATTCTGACAGTTTCATTTCTTTTTCAGTGGAAGCTAATGTTAAATCGTGAACATATTTTGATAAATTCACTATCGCCTAAAGAAAGTTAAATATTTTCTTTTATTTCAGTTTTCATGTTTTTTCTCGGGTCTGATATCACACTAACTGGTACAAGCTTCGGCCTAAAAATATTTTCGAATTTAAATCTCTGCCATTGATACCTGTGTCTGCTTTGCATAAAAGTGAAAAATCATTCAAAGCACCACCAATAAATTATGTCGGAGAAAGGAAACTTATTCTTCACAAGATATTTCAGTACACAGGAATTTGAGCGATTCACAAATCAATAAGCTTTCTAAGGAAGTTCGAATGATAAAACCATTTTTATTTCATCCCTGATTCATTACCTAGCACCTGAAATGGATTAGCCTATTTGTGTGGAATTCTGAGGTTTATTCCCCCCACCCCCCGTTTTCCATAGATATTCCTCCAATCTCTTTGAAAACATACGCATGGTGCGCATTTAAGAAAATCTCTCAAAATGATTTAAGAATGAATGATTATACTCGTATTATTATTCGAAAGAAAAAAAATAAGAATATGGTTTTAATTGTTTAAAATCTCAACCTTTTTTTTTTTTTTTCGTGGTATGCTCTTGTAGGAATTAATGTATTAAAATGTGTTAAATGCGTACGAAGGTGTTACAAATGTTTGAACCGTTGCGCATTGATTGAGTTATTGATACAGATACTGAAATTGTTTTAATTACCTGAAATAGGCTGTACATAGTTTTTTAATTTTTTAATTTTTTTCGATGACAAAATTATTAGTGTATTCAAAATTCTTATTTTACCGAAATGTGAATACAAAAGTCTGTGTATCTCGTTTTGCTAGCAATCAAATATTTTTACTTCCTTTCCTCAAAACTTTTTCCTCAGTTTTAACTTAAAATTTAATGTTTAAATTTAAATATTCTTTCTTTCTCGTTTCTCCCTTATTACACAGTCAACGACTGTCGCCAAAGAAGCAATAAGGCGCCTGTTCAAGTCTGAACTAAAGAGCACTTGGTAGAATGACTACTGTTAACGCCCCTTCAGGGTCGTGTATTTGGGGATCGAACAAACTGGGGGGTTTTTCGCACGTGGCCTCAAGCCTTTTGTTAGCTCACCGAAAAAAAAAAAAAAAAAAAAAAAAAAGGACAACCTAGTTGGTGAAAACTATGAGCAGGGAAGAATGCGCCTAAATCGCATGATACGCTTAAATAGGAATCGTTAGAAGGTTCGGACGAATTCGGAGGAATCGTTATAGGTTCGGACGAAATGACAGTGAAAGGGGATGCTGAAAGGATTACGTGTCGCCTGCCCACAAATTCCGAGTTCAATGATTTTCAGGGGTTATGCAGTAATCAATTAACTATGTTCTAAATACTGCTGTAAATGTGCACATATAATACCCTCAATTATTACAGTTCTGTTTAATTTGCAGTAATACTCACATCCTTAATCCCCCCTTTATAATCGTTTAAATTAATATACTTTCCCCGCATACAGCATAAAATTTTTAAGAATACATTTTACGCATCTCAGTTAAATTCTCCAAGGAAACATGCTTGCATCCAAATCGAAAAGCTGACGCATTTCTCACAAGAAATATTTATTGCTAGATGGATGATAATAATTTGCTTAATTTAGGGGCTCTTCCACCCAAAACCTCATCTTCTTATCTTTCGATAACATGCAACAGCAACTTTGATAATTAATTTGCTTTCCAAAATTTTAAGCTGCTGGACTGAACAAATATAGGTTTTAACAGTATGTTATGTACATTGCGGGTATGTACAGTATTATGTACATTGTAGGGGGGAAAAAATGGCACAGTTCTATCTCTCCCGTTTTACTGGGTCGATTGATGAAATTCAAATTGCGTTTTTCCCGTCTCAAAAGCGCGACTTAGAATATATATTAGATTTATATATAGCACTGTTCTAATATAGGTATTTTGATACAAAATCAGATTTTTTCTGAAATGACATGCCATTGTTTTTTCCATATTTCGATTCTACGACTCAAATTATGCATAGATATTAAATTTTGCAAAATTTGTGGAGAAATTTAAAAATTTATCTTATCGCAATTCTTTTAGTTTGCGCCAACTTGGAGAACTTCTCAATTTATAGCAACCTTATTTTCCTTTCCTTTTTTCATTGTAAACGAGCGGAAAAAGTCATCGTTCATTATTTCACATAATTCTAACAAAGTTCGTGAGCCACATTCGGCGTTATTATCGCTTATAACAAATATGCCAAATTTCAAAATGCGCCACTATGAAAATTCACGTATATCATAGGAAATTTGAATAACAAACTCTAATTTTTTGCGGGTATACTTACAAATGCATCTAGTTTAAGATGATGGTAAAATTTTACAGGTTATGATTCAAAATTTTTTTCGAAAAATTTATAAAAATTATTTAAAAATAAATTATAAAAATGGAGGAATTTTATTTGGAATAAACCTAAATTTAGAATTCTGGAAGAAGGAATCAAGTAAGTTTAATAAAAAAGAGAGATATTAATAAATATATATCAAATTCAATTAACACTAAGGAGCTAAATTTTGAGGGCTAATTTTTTAAAACCTACTTGTGCGATTTTTACAAAACTTGACACTTTGGCATAATTTGAGTCGTAGAATTGAAATATGAAAAAAAATGATATATCATTTCAGAAAATGTCCAATTTTGTGTCAAAATACCTATATTAGAACAATGCTGTATATAAATCTAATACATATCCTAAGTTCGCTTCCGAGAATGAAAAGCGCAACTTGAATTTCGTCAGTCGGCTCAGTAGAACGGGAGCTATGGAGCTGTCCAATTCCTCCCCCCCCCCCCCGCAGTGTACATTCTAACATGTAGAGAATGATTAATACTTCAAGGAGTGACGTACCTATATAGAAATGTACTTATAATAAACTAATGTTTGTAAGTATGCATATTTAAATAGAATTGCATACACAATTATCATAAATTTAATTGAAACAATGATAAGTGAGAAATCTAAGGCCTTAGGTTAGATGTATAATAATTGACTATTTTAAACTGTGCTTACACCGTTTGTCAAAATTTCTTTAAATTCTAATCAGCCAATTCAGAGTAATCATGAACGCAAGCGGGAAAATCCTATTTTTGTAAGATATTAATTAGAAAATGAAATTGCCTAGAAATCCTGTAAGCGCATTACTTTCTTAAAATTAATAAATGTATAGATATATATGCTAAAATATATAGATACATATACTCATAAAGTCTAGTTCTCTTTGGGAGCATATATTGAAGAACTATTTTCTAAACTTGTGAAACAAAACAAAGTCAGAAGAAGGCTTTATAAGACATATATAACATAAACATAAAATTAATACATAAAATTAACAATTACCCAACTTGGGTTTACACAAGCCAAGCACTTCTGGCTCAACAGAAATACGTAACGCTGAACAAGTTCAAATGTTGTAGGTTAGCCTAACGGCTCACAAAATAATTTAACGGGCAAGAAAGGCTCTGGTTTCTAGAAAACCGACGAGACAAAGCCGAATGCTTAGAAGCACTCAGCGCCACAGAATCAAATTGCTAATAACCACGGCACAATGTGGCCTGGAATAGACAGATAATGCTCTAAAACTAAATTTCGAAACTCTTGCTTAAATAACACTTCTTTCTACCTTAATCTGAATAAACACTCGTTATCTCATTTACATCTCAATCTTTTTGTGTATATATATATATATATATATATATATATATATAGAGAGAGAGAGAGAGAGAGAGTCGCACACTGAGATTAAGTTACCAACTTTCTTCCCCTATGATATAACTTAAGTAATACTTTTTTTAAATACCTTGGTATTATCATGAATTTGCATGAACAAATTACGGTTTAATATTTGCTTTAGCTCTAACCCACTTTTTTTTTCATTATTTATAGAAAACAAGTCGAGATTATACCATTCAGCAGCGAATACTACAGCAGATGCCGAAAGCAGATTCATCTTGCCGTCCAGTACGAACAATGTGCCATCCAGTCCTCCGGAAAAATCTACGAACTTAGGCTGTACGAACAGCCAGAAGCCCATTTCTCACAGTGGCAAAATGAAACGAATTAGAACGATTTTCAGTCCCGAACAACTAGAACGACTTGAATCGGAATTTGAACGTCAGCAATACATGGTAGGGCCAGAAAGACTGTACTTGGCATCAACATTGAACCTCACAGAAGCCCAAGTAAAAGTGTGGTTCCAAAATCGACGAATAAAGCACAGAAAACAACATATAGAAATGCAACAAGCCAGACTGGCTCAGCTCAGAGAAGCTGAGAAAGCTGAGAGTGATGGAGAACAAGATCAAGCTAATTTAATTAAAGACGTTTCTCCAGGCAGCTGGAATAACGTTATGGATGATAGGCATTGTTAAAATTTAAATAATACAACTACCACAATAGGCTAGAAATTTTGAATCACTACTGATTTGAAACTAGCTTTAGAAATCTTTTCTTAAAAGTCGCATTCGAGAACGATAAAGACAAATATCCGAATTATTCTCTCAGGGTACTCAAGGATATAAATGTGTTAAAGAAAACAAAGTTACTTAAATTACCAAAAGAATGTATCCCTTTTTTAGTTGGCCAAATTAAAGTGCAATTTCTACCAAATATATGTTCCGCTCCATAAACACTGTTAATTGTGATGACTTAGCGTATATTATCACTTATAAATAGTGTTAAAACCTGAATTAAATAAGTCCAGTATAGGTCACAGATCGCGATTACTTACTTTTTATTTGCAATACTAATTACGAGTGGTTATAGAATGGTGTGATTTTTTTTATCCTAATTAAAAAAAATACCACGAGAAAAAGATGGCTATGTTTGGCAATTAGAGGAAATGCTGTGGCAAGTCAATGAAAAGAGTACCTAATTCAGGATAGCATATATTGATAAAAAACTCTATTAAGACTGACATAACAGTATCATACTAAATTGCGCTTTCCTTGATAGGTAAGGGTAAAATTATAAATTCAAGAAGAGGAGAAGGACCATTTATTTCTTCACCAAACATTTTACACTTAATTTGGAACAGGCATAGGTAACCATACCTCTTAATGAAGTTTCGAAGGGCAGGATGGGGAAAAGCTAATTATGCTATGGAGAAATCTTGATCTAGAGAAACAGAAGTAAACACAATTATTTTTATAGCTTTATCAAACAGAAGCTAAATTATTATTAGCTATATTAATAAAAATTTCAATATTATGCTTAGTCAAAAAGAATTCATCATGTATAAAAAATCAAACATTGTTCCAAAGAATATTTTTTAAAATTCGAAAAGAGATCATTTGAATTACACACCTTTGAGAAACGAACATGTGCAGTGTATAGTACTTTGATAAAAAAAAGAGTTTTGGAAACGTGAGGAAATAATTCTATTATCAAGCATATAAACTAATGTGAAAAATCCTTCAGATATTGTACTATTAATTTACCACTTTCCGAATTATCAATTATTATAAGAGTTGACAAATATTAAACTATTCATGTATTGTTAGTTCATTAGATGGATTAATGAAGCATAAATGATAAATTAAAGAATATTTTAAATTTAATGTCAATTTGTATGTACTATTAAATGAACATGAGAATTATTCAATTAAAATAATGCGCCAAAAATGTTTCTTGCACATATTTGTACAGAGCTAAAGGAAATCGAAGTTTGAAAATGTTTAATGCTTATATTTCTTTACAGGTAGACTTGTAAATATTTTGACTTAAGTTTCAAAGTTTGCCAATTAACGATGGTTCAGGTGAATAAAAATTATTCTTTGCTGTATATATATTGATTGTAATATTTTGTTTCAATTTAAATAATGAAATAATATTAAATGATAAAAATATTTTCATTTAATATTATGTCTTTACTCCAAAAGAAAGACCAGCATACTGGTGCAACACGCACATTACCGATTATAAAGTGTTTATATTACATATGATAGTTGAGTTTGAACCTGACATTAACATTTCAGAGCTCTGCACGAAATGCAGAGGTCTTTTGTTAATAGCGTACATCGTTTCTTGTGCAAAGGAAAAAAAAAAAAAAGAAAAGAAAAATCTGAAATGTTTCAGATTTTAAATTACGTCAAAAAGGGGAGTTTTTTTAACATTTTATGTGTTACCTTTATTTATAAAATATCATGTTCTTCGCACTTAAACTATAAAATTCAGTTCAACAGCAATATCGCATAATAATTTTAAAATGTGCATATCTTTAGAATTTCCGATACACAGCCTCGCGCGCTGGAGATAAAAATGTTTTTTCTGTACAACGTTGGCATTGCTCGCTTTGAAATCCTTGAGTTTGTTAATTAAAAGCTCGTTAAAGTTTTACAAAATAGAAATCGATAATAAAACAAATTCCAAATTTCAAGTTGGGCAGATGCCCTGGAAACGTTCAATATTCAAAATTTGATGATTCTAGGTACCGTTGTTTTATCACAATGCGAGAAACATACATTTAGGCAGATTCCTTATTATTTAATTTCTTTAAATATAATACCGGGCGATAATATTTGGTGGCAACAATTTGAAAAGTTAAACAACGCTTTTAGTGAATCGACGCAAAATGGCAATACGAAATTAATAGTTCTGAGCAAATTGCTTCAAGATAGAAAGAAAAGAAAATGCAAGCATACTTCTGTCACTTAAATATAATGCAAGGGTAAGTGACACCTGGAGCATGAGTTAATGCTATAAATGAGTAAATTACATTAATTTTATGTTAAAATTGTTTAATAAAAAATTGGTGGCAACACTTTGAAAAAGGAAACGGGCATTCAGAGTGATTCGACGCAAAATCGCGAAACGAAACCAATAGTCAGTCAGGGACAATTTCCCTTTGGACTAAAAAAAGAATAGAAATGGTTTTGTTCGTTATAATCTAGTCTCGTGTATAAAGGAATATTTAATATGCTACATTTATTCTGTTGCAAAATTCTTCGGAGATATATGATATTGTATCAGCTGTAAAATAAATGTCAATTTATTTAATTCTCGATATTTGTCTTATTTTGTTTTTATGGAACTTGCTTTTCACCATTACAAAAACACAATTTATATTTAAATAATAATTTTACAACTCCAGAGAAGAATGACGAGTCAGAGCTTTTAACCGTTAGGCCAACTTTTATTGTCAGAAAGCATTTTGCTATTTTAAAAATTTAAAAATCGAAAAGTTGTCAGCTGCACTAAGAGGTGATAAAATTGAAACTTGTAATGTTCAGTGGTAACTGGATATAAAAGCAAATAGTTTCTATAGCTTGATTCATTAAGATTATAATATATCTTCATATTTATGGAAAGACCTCGTTTCGAAAGCATATCCTCAAAACAGGATAGCCTTATGAGTGCACCAATTGCATGGGACTGAGAAACAATAACGAAATTTACCATCCCACTTGCTAGTAGGCAAACTATTGTCCTTCAAGAAAAATTCTTCACGTATTTACCAACTACTTTCAGTAGCTCCTTTTTTTCCCAATACCTATTTCCATATGTTTTATTTTATTTTTTACTATCAGTTATATTTTCTGTTTATTTATTCAGAAAAATGAATTACAATTATGACAACTTATTGTTAGAATTGAGAGTGTTGGGTTATTGTAACCACTACAGCTTACCTCTGTGGATTCTATTTATTAGATACCATTGATTTCTTTCCCGAGTTATCTAGATGGAATTGATATTTCTAGGTTCATGCAGACAAAAACTTAATAACATTTAACTTACAATTTCGCTAGAGAATTGATATAAAAATACAGATTAAGTCCACTTGACTATGCTAAAATTCAGAAGTTAGTTTTACTCTGGAAGAAACCACAATTCTCATTTTAATGTGCTAAGCTTACAATTGTAGACTTTCGTGTTGGATAGGAATAAAATCAGCTACCTTTGCTACGACTCAAACATCAATAATCACCAGCTACTACTTTCTCGTGGCTCCAGCTTCCATCTTATCCCACCACACCTAGGCACAGATTCGCTGACGTTCTCCAGGCAGGTTCAAACATCAGACTTTAGACTTTCCAGTTCCAGTTAACCTACTTATACTCCTACGCTCGTCTCATAAAATGTACATAACCATCTAGAGATAACGAGCTGCGTGACTAAGTGACAGAAAAGCTGCAAATTAAACAACCAATTTATTAGTTAAAAATAAATTAAATAATCACACAATAATTAACGAGTTTACAAAGGGGAAGCATATTTTGTACACTCTAATAACGAAATCATTCCCCAGTTCTGTACGCTGAGTAATTTCTTAATCACCTCTTCATTCTTACGCCTTAGTGCCTATTGAGCTCCTTTCCAAAACAGCCTTAAGCGTTTTATACTGAAAATGAGCCTTAGAGGGAAGACTTCAGTAATTTTTCCAACTGAGCTCAATCGGGATATATCCCTTTATTTATAACAGCGTTTAAGTTTTTACAGTTCCTTCTATAAATAAAAAATGTAATGTCAGTGTTTTTGAAGAAATAAAGAAGCCTAAATAGATTGTAATATCAATGAACATTTTTAATGACAGAGATTAACTTAAACATAGTTGCATACAGCAGAGAAAAAGGGCGAAGAAGTAAGAATGGTATACATATACATACATACGTAATAAACAGTTACGTCATCATTCATCACCGCGCGGATAAACGCGAACGGCGCATGCGTCAGGAGAAGCTCTCTTAAGCTAAACGTCGTATTATAATTTATGATACAACAATCCCCCTTTCGACGTTTGGCGGCTGAAAAAAAAAAATAAACATTAATCATTTACAGTTATTCCAATTAATTTACAGCACTTAGAATGTTTCGAAGCAGTCAATGTTTTTGTCAGTACATCATCAGCAGGCATTTTCTCTGTTGGCACATATTTAACGTCTATTTCATTTCTTTCATAAATTTCACGAATGAAATTGATGTCTAATATCTATGTGTTTAGTGCGTGAGTGGATAAACAGAGCATTTTTCATAAGCTTTCTGTGCACCTTGATTATCACAATATATAATGGTTGGATAATCAGCATTAAAATTTAATTCTTTAAGAAAACGACGTAAATAAAAAACTGCTTCTTTGGCACTTTCTGAAAGACTGATGTACTCTGCTTCAGTACTTGATAATGCAACAGTTTGTTGCTTTCGTGATTCCCATGTTATTCGGATTTCCAGCTAGCTTGAATAAATAACCTGTATATGATTTTCTAGTATTAACATCTGACGCCCAGTCGGCATCGGTATATCCAATAAGTGCTTTTCCAGTCTTTCGAAATTTTACACAATAATTTTTAGTTCCTTTTAAGTATCGAAGAACGCGCTTTGCAGCCAACCAGTGTAATTTTCCAGGATTGTTATTAAATTGGCTCAGGTGACTGACGGCATATGCAATATCCGGCCTAGTAAACACAGAAAGATACATAAGCGAACCAATTAGACGGCGATAAGGTACATTGTTCATTTCTTTCTTCCTTTTCAGTTTCAGAAGGACACATTTCTTTACTTACTTAATTTTACACTAGGATCTAAAGGAGTTGCTACTGGTTTTGCATCTTGCATATTAAACCTTCGTAGAATATTATCAACATATTTCTGCTGAGATAAACTAATAGAATTATTATTTACATCTTGATTAAATTCTATTCCAAGACAATAATGAAGTTTGCCTAAATCTTTAACATGAAATTCTTTAGAAAGATAACCTTTAAGTTCAGCATATAAATCACAGCTATTTGTTGCTATTATTAAGTCATCAACATATAAAATTAGAATTAACTCACCTTGAGATGTTTTCATCCTGTATACACACTTATCTGATTGTAATGGTTGTAATCCAAAGTTTTTGAGTTTTTTGTCTAATTTTTTCATACCACTGTCTTCCACTTTGTTTCAAACCATAAAGAGACTTTTGCAAAGCATAAACATAATCAGGATTATTTTGGTCTTCAAAACCTTTAGCTTGTTCCATGAAAATTTCTTCTTTTAAATCTCCGTTAACATAAGCCATAACAAAATCTAGTTGATATAACATAAGGTCTTGTTCAGCACTGTATGCAATCACAGTTCTTATAGAACTTGCTCTGGCTACTGGAGCAAAGGTTTCATTAAAATCAATTCCAGGTTCCTGTGCAAATCCTCTAGCAACCAATCGAGCTTTTCTCTTTTGAACTGTTCCATCTGCATTATATTTCGTTCTAAGAACCCAGCGACATCCTATTACCTTTTTGTTGTGTGGTCGCTTTACTAATTTCCATGCACCTATTTTTAACAAGTGCTTCATACTCAATTTGCATAGCCTTATGCCATTCTTCAGCATAACTTCCATTTAATGCTTCTTCTAATGTCGGATTTGTATCTTCTTCAGCAATTTGTGCTTCTTCCTTTTCTATGTTTATATTGTGGTACTCCTTTTTGGTCTTCCTGGCTTCCCAGTCTTGACTTTCTTTGGACGACCTGGCCCCCTTTTAATCTGCATTTCAGGTATTGCTTCGGAATCAGAATCTTCATTATCAGATGATTCAGCAGATGCTTCTGCCATATTTGAGGGGTCTTCTGTTATTTCATCAGCCGATATTTGATTTACATTCAGAGGTTCTTCCTTCTTTTTATCAGGAATATTTTCGAGAAATAAAACTTCTAAATCTTTATCATAATTAGTACAGTTTTCAAATTCATCAATGAATCTAACATCTCGGCTTATAACGATTTTTCTGGAATTTTTATTCCACAGCCTGTATGCTTTCGATTCATTTGAGTATCCTACAAATATATGTTCTTCTGAACGAGGATCGA